TATATTGTCTCTTTCGACTCAAGAAACCCCCCCATTCCTGACTAAAACACCTTCCTGCTCTCAAATGAATCTGTTGATACTCTCAAGTGAAGCAGAGGCAGCAGACACACATCCCTACCCCAAATTAATTTTTTGCCTGCCAAACCATAGGCAAGGATGTGACTGGAAGGCCACAAGCCTGGGATATGGGGCTGTAGTGGAGATATCAGAGGTCAGTTACACAACAGCAAACCGAGGACTTTAGAAAAGGCCGTAAATGCTGCAATGAAACCAGATCAGATAAGACAGCCTGACATTCAAGATGCTGCTTTAGCTCTAAATGTTTGTTTCACAAGTAGCTTTAAAATTGAAGGTTTTCTATGGCTCACCCCAGCATGGGCTCTGAGCACTGCCCAAGTATTTAAACACAGGCACAGTAACAATCTTCCCCTGACTCTCACCAAAGTCAATTCTTGGTAAGCACCTGCTGGATTGGCTTGTAATTCTGTGCATATTTGAAGAGCTTCCTGAAAGAAAATGAAGTAGAAGGTAGGGGTTTGCATTTAGTTCTGCTGCTGCTGAGTTCTGTGTCAACTCTTACCTGTTCTGGGGGTAGGGTCCTTGATTGCAGCCCAGCTTCAATGAAATGTCTTCCTTCTGAGCTGCCCCCAGTGCAACAGTTCTGTGGAAATATCCCTGTTTTGGGATTTCAAGGGCACGGAGAGGAATAAAGCCTCTGCGGAAGCTAGGGCTGATCCATTTAAAAGGCTTTAAGCATCTAGAGGGAGCCACTGGTCTGAATTCTTCAGAACACCTATGTGATACATGTTCCCTGTCATCTGTGTTACTAACCTCGAGCAGGATGAAAGAAAAGCTGAAGGCACTCTGTGGGAATTCCTGCTCCGAGTTACAAGGGTGAACCTCCCATAAATGCTGAACAAAGAAAGGTTTTTGTAAATGTATATGCAACACATTTTTTTTTTCCAGCAGAACTCAAGTTCCAGGTGGCAGCTAAACCCTATTTTTTTGACTAGAGCAATATCAGCTTCTGACTAGAAAGAGTCTTCTTTCACAAAATAGCCAACAGAAAACACTTACGGATGATGCTCATGCATTTTGCCAGCTACTCTGGCCCTTTCAACAGTGGATCCCACCCAGAGTGCACTTTGAGCCCTAGAAGCCACAGGTGTGCACATGTTCTGGTGGCTTTCCTGTACTGTCTACCTTATGCTGCCAGAAGTTCTGGCACTAGAAGCAGCCTAGGATAGACAAGGCCTAATAACAAAGGCTAAAATCAGGGCTCTGGTGCACAGGGCTAGATACTAAGGAGAGAGAAAATCCATCCTGGGACCAAGTTTAACAAGAATACCTGGGGTTGTTCATTGCAAATAAAAGTCTGCACTCATTAGTCTGGAGCCTAAGCATAATAAGTTTGGAGACATTTGATTGCAGATAAATCTCTCAGAGGTCAGCTTTTGGGCATGTGGGTCAAATAGCCAAAAGCAGATGTATTTGGTTAAAGTAGGATCTTCATTCTACTTGCCTGACTGGTAAATGCCGAGTAAGCAGTGGTGCTGCCTGAAAAAAAGCACCTGGCCTGCCTATTGGGTATGTTTGGGAATATCCCAGACTAAGTATATAACACACAGTATATTTGCTGTACTACAAATATATAGCTGAAGCCCCTGGCCCTGTTGCTGCCCCTACTCCTGACCCACAGACCCCTGGCTCTGCTGGTGCCCCTCACTCCCAACCCACAGTTTCCCACACCCGCAAGCCATGCTGGTGCCCCTCACTCCAAAAGACATCCCTGCTAGTACTGACTGCTTTCGTTTCAGTGCTGGAGACAATTTTACTGGATGCCCTAATTCTCCTGTTTCTCTCTCAACCTATCACATTAAATACTTTGCTCTACCAAACTGTACACTTGCCTCACTAAGCAAATGTGCAACTTCCTTCCCCTCCCTATCATCCTTTTACCTTGCCCACTCCATTCCATGCACCATGACTGGAACTAAGGCCCAAATCTGCAAACAAATCCCTGACTGGATCTCCACTGAAGTCTGAGCACATTTCAGGATCTTCTTGCAGATGGAGTTTCCCAGATTGCTGCATAGGCATTTACAAATCGTGCAACTGACTTGAAATCCAAAGGGTTGTTTGAAGGTTTCTTGGGTTCTGATTTCTTACCCAATTCCCTTCTGGTTTCTGGACTTTCTAGGGTGCACTCAGCACACGTTTTCAAGCTTTTCTCTGTAACCACGAGGACTAAAACTTTCATTTTTAAGCACAAAGCAAGATTCTCCCTTATTGGTGAGTCTGAGCACTGAGACTTTAAGCGTAACAACCAATATTGCAAGGCAGGCAATAAAATCGTGCAACTTGGAAAGACTCAGCCAAAACGGCAACTTTGATTCTGCTCTACAGAACACTGATATTAGACATTCATAAATTCTAAGCAACCCTACATTGCCCCAAATCTGATAAGATGAATAGACTGCTAATACCGTGCTATGAATACTTGTGCAAGGCAGTCAGAATAATTCAGAGCAGGTACAGCCATGTGCTGGGATAGCTTGTCAAAACATCAATCAGTCTTTTATTGATTTTACCCTTACTAAGTCATGTTTGGCTGAGAAACCATCTTGATAGCTGAACTAGTAAAAGGGATATAAGAATCCAGGAGGTTGAACTGTGTGTGACTAATCATGGTTCAGTAACAGATGAATCTGCAATCTATCTGAAAATCATTAAATCAGTCAAAACAAAGTACCTCTGAAAGACAAAAAACAGTATTTTAAGTCACTCCTCAATATTCATAAAATGAGCTGGTCTGGTATTTGAGGGTTTGAAGGAGTAAAAAAAGAAGTTCTTTTGCAAAAGGAAATCATTTAATGAGCCACTTGCAAGTACTGAGAAGCTAACTGTCTTGTTGGAGGTAGAACCACATGAAAAAAAAGGGAAGTATGTGGGCCACAGAGCATCCTTAAGGTAAGTCTCTTAGCTACACCCACAGTTTCCTGACAAAAACATTATGTTGTGTCATACATCATGCATCTTATAGTTTGGGTGACTTAATTTACATTAAAGAAAAATGAGGGGGGAATGTAACATCTCCACAGTAAAAAGAGAGAACGTAGATCCAATTGCATAAACATATTCAGGTGCCTAACTCCCATCAACATCAAACGAAATAAGAGCCCTTAATACCCTTGTAGTTGGGAGCCACAGCAACTTGTCCTGTAACATTCTGCATCTGAACTACAACACAACATGGCAGCTTCCCAGCAGCAGACAAAGAAACTCTCTGCCTTTAAAGGTGCAGAATAGAAAAGTCAAAATAATAGCAAAGTCCTTCAGTCATATGGTTATATGCATTGTGGAAAGGGAACAAAGTCCCGAACCACAACAGAATCAAGATCCTGGTCAATTTTCTTTAGCAAAAAGCAAAGACTTTAGTATGGTATTTACAGAGGTCCATGAGGAGAGAAAAATATATGTTCACAGTCAGCCTTCTTGTCCTACTCATTTGGAGAAAATTACTTAGTCTTTACTTGCATAAAGCAGATCTGCTTACCTGAAGAAACTGAACAGTCTTTGCAACACCCCTCTGAAATGGGAGTTGTTGTTATTACTACTACTTTATAAGTGAGGAAGCTCATCTATAAAGATGATTATAACTTACCAAAAAATATTATAACTTCCCTAAGATTACAGTGGAGGTTGCTGATGGATGTGGGAACAATATACACATTTTTTGATTCCCAGGCCTGTTCTTTTACCACCATAAGAACATCCAACCTCCCTGCAAAGGAGTAATGCAGAGATGAATCAACATATAATACCTATTTTTTCTTCTATAGAGGGACACTGAATGCAATAGCTAACTTTACTTACCCAAATATTTATTTATAACCTATTAACCAAATTACTCAGTGCTTGAGGGAAAAACTCTCTTTGATACCAGTTGGAGGTCAGCATTTTATTCTTGATTTTGCAAAATCAAGATCTTCCTTAATTCAGATCATTAATCAGCCCTCACCACACATTATCTTTAACTCCTCTCTACTATTTTAAGCCTGTAATATCCTGAAATATTCAGCATATCCCCAGCAAACAAGCCCTGTGAGGCCTATTTCTCTCTTGAATCATTGATGTACTTGATTGAACATGCGTGTGTGTATTGGGAGGGAAAGGGGTAATAAGCACAGAAAAATGCTTATGAGGTTACTGAAGCAATCCACTGCAGTTAAACTTGGTTCATTCAAAACAGGTGAAATTCAACCCTGGGCCCAGAGCCACCAAAAGGCCCATGAAGCACTTACACCCCCCTCAAACCCTCATACTGTAATTTAAATTGTGTATAGATCCCTGCAAGGGGATGAGTTATCCCTCACTGCATCTAATGCAACAAAACAGGCTGGCCCACCACTCTGTTCATACTGAAGCTTGCTACAGAAATAGCGCATCATGACTGCACCAGGATGATGCTCACAGGTGAGCACCGGTTAACTTTGCTATCTCTTCATATACTGGCAGAGTTTGGGTATGCTAATGAATCACTGTACTCAGTCTTCAGTAGGAACTACTTGCTGCTACTCCCCAGGAAAATCTTCTGGTCAACATATTTTCATTGTTCAATGGCTGTAGGCAGGAGGTGGCGGGGGGTGGTCTTCGAATAGACCTTAATGGTGTGGGGATCTGTGAAGACAGCTCTAACATGCAGGAAAATGAGAAGACCCAAGGACCTTCTGTTACATAAGGGGAAGAAGCAAATACCATGAGATGTACCATATGTCACAATACCCTTCCAGGACCAGGGTGCATATTGTATCCCTTAGGTACAGAGCATAGTAAAACTACTGTGAACTCTCTGTGCCAGAGCCTACCATGCTAATGCAATCTAGCTTTAGCCAGGTTAAATCCCTCCCCCTGCTGTGTGTGGGAGAGGTCAGGGGTGGGGTAAGAAAGTAATATGAAGTCACAACCAGGTCTTTATAAGGGGCTTGGCTTAACACCCTCACACAGTGTGTTCAGTTCTGGTGGAGGAGAGGGAGTTAGTTGCTCTTTTTTTTTTGGTTAAGAGTGAAACACTAAGCCTTCAAGTAAAGAAGATGCAGACTTTCCATAGCAGCCAATCTGTCAGGCCTTTTAAGATGCGAAAGAGTTTTGGTAAATCATTTGGGTATTTTACTTGGCTGAGAGATGTCTGAGGTGTAGGATTTCATATGTATAACATTTGTGTTTCTTTTTGCACAGCAACTAGACTGGAAGAAGTAGCTGGAATTCGGGCAAAGTTCCCAACAAAAGTCCCGGTAAATGCCCCTCTCCTGTTTCCTTATGTTAGTGTTTGAATGGCTGTGTGGGTGCATGTCTCTCTCTCTCTCTCTCTCTCTTAATTTACTTTATTTTATCATCTTGTTTTGTTTTTCCTAAAGCAAAGTCTTTTAAGGCTTCCCTTTCTTAAAAAGCTTGCTCTAAAGGGAGTGAATTTCTTACTCTTTTAAACCAGGTGATTGTTGAAAGATACCATAGAGAAAAATACCTGCCTCTACTGGACAAAACAAAATTTCTAGTTCCACAAGAACTGACTATGACCCAGTTCATAACCATCATCAGGTAAGTAATGCGTGCTTATGTAGCTAATACTATGTAAACGGAACTGTGTTCCTCCCTGTGCTGACTTTGTAGCTACCTGAAAAGTCTGGGTTTGGGGGGGGGGGGGGTGTTCCTAAGCACCAATTCAAAACTTAAATCCCTGACTGCCTTGTACAAGAAATGTGGCTTCCTTTCTGTCTGTATGTTTCTAATGTGATTTAAAGCCTACATATTTTCTCCCTAAGGTGGATTAGAGGGGAGAACCTATTCAGAGAGGCTAGTGACACTAGTACTTCAGAAATAGAAGTTTTTGAGGGTCTTGTCTGGTGTGTGTCTTGGGTGTTGTTTTTTTTTTCCCCTCTTTTTTTTTTTTTTTTTTTTTTTTTTTTTTTTTTTTTTTTTTTTTTTTTGAAAGGGGGGGGGGGGGGGGGGGGGGG